ATGTTGCGTAAACGAGAAAATTGTTGAAAGCACAAAACTACATCCAGATAAACGTATCACGTGGAGATATTTTTTGCTGTAAGGTGACAGATGCATTATGTCGTTCACCGCCGTACAATAGCAATGCATGCGTTCAAAATTAAAGGCGTTGCGTATAATACAGAAAAGCTGGCAATTATACGAGTACGTTGCAAACAAGCGAGGGCGTGTTAGTCTGTTTATCTGATTGCATTCAGTGAGAATCCCGCGGAGTCGGATCGATCTACGTAGACCGATAGTTTCATTGAAAATAAGCCCTTGGTCATCAAATATTTAATAACAGATCGTCGCTCTTAGATCCAGAATGTTGACGTTGACTCTCTGATTTGAAGTCATAGGAAACGATTTAAACATAGTTAATGTCGCAAAAAGAGGCGATTTTGATAGCGAATTCAGATTAAAAATAAAAAAAAACATGCAGATCAACCAACTCCTTGAGATTTATTTCAGGGCTAAGCGGCTTAACAGAGATTTGTCCTTTGACGTGGCCAGTGACGCAACACTTGCTGATTAAAGGACTTAATTCCTCAGTGTATCTCGTAGAATTAGAAACAAAACCTAAATGTAGGGAAAATCATATTTGGGTATACATGTAGGTTCATAGGCCTAATTTAAATAGGCCTACTGTGCCTCTGCAGACGGTACTGACATTTTCAGTAAAATCATTCTTTTCACCTTTGACACAGGGGGAAAGATTGTGGGTCATTTCAGAGGCTTGTTTTTAATTAGCTCTTTTCAACCTAATTTACTTGAAACAGGCCGTTATTTTATTCACTGGTATGGTAGTTTTAAAGAAAATCGAAAGACATGAAATTGAGAACCAGGTTTTATCGTGGCGAGAAGTGGTATTAGCGTAAATGCACCCTTAAAATGTCGCGGGAACCTCACGATTTCCTATCATTTTTATAACAATGTCTGTTGACACAAATATTTAAGTGGCTTATGCCAAGGAAAAACTCCTCTCCGTCTGTGAAAAAGACTTTCCCGTTGTAGATGGTTTAAAAGATATTCCCTCTCATACATACCAGTATGGAGTGGTAGGAGGTAAGGTGCGTGTGGCTCTGCCCATCTGTAATCTTCTTGTTATTGCTCAGTTTAAATCTCCGCGCACGCTTTCGTCGTTTCTCTTTCGGTTAGACAGGTACTTGGTTTATTATTAGAGTCAGAGTAACAGGTTCCTCTTACACGCGTGTCTTTAAGGGGGATTGAACGACCGCCTTGCAAAAGGTTCGGTTTACAATGTGTCTTTTTAAAATTGCCTTTCAGGGCCAATCGATCACAATTTCTACTTAACCCTCTCCAACAGCGGTAATTTAATACCTTTAAAGATACCTTTAAGATAGTTCAAAAGTCCACATGAAAAGTTGCCATTTTCTGGTAATAGCCCTAGGCACGATCTTTACATGACAAGGAAATTTTAGTGTCTAACGTTTGTTGAAGGGCGTCTTAAAATCAACCAAGATTTGTTCACCGATTAATTCGAACATGTTATTAAAAACTTCTCACTTAACAAAACTTCACGGTAGGGGTCACGGTACAGATCACAATTATACTGCGGTTAAAGGCTTTACATAAAGAAATTAGCTGTTTTCATTTTCCAGGATGTCTCACGCGACGATGATGCGGTTGTTACTTGTGACTTTAGCTGGACTGAGCGTTCTAATTGCCGGCGCAAGTATCAAGAAAAACAAGGTTTCAGGTAATATATTTTCCATCGTAATTTTCAGTATAATTATATATTGACTGTTTGTATAGCTATAGCAAACGAAAGATGTTATATTTATTTGTTAAACTGAATAACAAAGAAATGTTCAGAAGACCTGATTTGCCTTACGGTCAGTTTCCAAAAAATTAATCAAACTTTGTCCGCAAATCTTTGCATAATGTTGCTAACGAACAGACAGACAAATAACTAATATTCAAATATTGATCAATTGATGAATCACCACAGTGTTCTAATCGTTTATATTATTTCTTGGTCCACTCCAGACAGTTTCTTATTTTATTTCATAAAAAAAAAACTTTTTCCATAATGTTGAAAACAGACAGATTTACGGATCCAAAAACATAACCTTCTTGGCGGAGGTTAGTATTTTTCACGTTACTCAAAGCTGAAGACCGAGTAAAAGAAAAGACTTGTCGAGTCGCATTTTGCGTGCATGGAAACACAGGGTGTATAAAAGGGAATTCGGATGAATGTCTTTCCATTTGTCGCTGATTAAAGGAGATATAAATTTAGATTTGGCTGAGCAACAACATGGGAAAAATTTGCTTGTGGAACTAGTAGTAGTAGTAGACTAGTAGTACTATCAAGTTCCTAACTATGATGGTGTAGGAAGTAACAATGTGCATACTTGAATGCGCTCTAATACAAACTGTTTTTTTCCTCCAGGCGTTTGTACGTACAAGGGCACGGAGTACAGGGTTGGAGAGACTTGGGACGTAGAATGCGAACTGAACTGCAAATGCCTCGAGGATGACATCTTTGTGTGCCGAGAAGGGTACGTAGACTGTTCGTTCATCACATCTTGTACAACCATTGTAAAGAATTGGACAGAAAGACTGGCGCTTTTTATCCAACACATTTTTTGTGTGAAAAATTGTTTATTTATTAACGACATTATCTTTCCTTAATGAAAGCCCTTAACTTCAGGACTACATGTAAAATTGTGTACAGCTTAATTCGTAGGTTTATAACGTACGAATGAAACATTCCTACAAAATCTTATCTGAAAAGAAACAAACGTAAAATGAATATTAGCAATACATCCCATACCAACCCTTAACATTTAACTATGTTTTTATCATTTAAAATTTACTAATTAAACATTTTTTTATTTTCATCTTCCAACAACCCTCACCTAGATAGATCGAAAATAAAACACTTTAAACAAAAGTGCAAAAACATCACGTCTACGTAACATGCTTAGATTCTTCAAAAGTTGTAGTGTTGAAAATGTTTTACGGCACAGTTCGATTTCGTCCAGATACATAACTTGGGTGGGTTCATATATTAAACGTTTTAAAATACCTTTGTTGCCCCATATGACAATAAACCTATAACGAATACCCGTTTTTCGCAAAAGGGTAGGTGAGTTAAGATACGATATTGATCTTTTGCCGTATTACGTGGTATGCACATAGATTAAGATTTCTTGACAAGTTAGTTATGCAACCACAACCGAAAACAAGCGGTTTAAAAGAGGCTTTCGTGTATTTACCAGAATCAAGTTTCTCTGCATGTATTCATAGTAATTATCTTGCAAGGATTGTTCCATTGAACTCTGTTCACGTTAATTTGTTTCGTCTGTTTTCAATCAGTTACTTTATATTCATTATTTCGTTTACCCTTGAGGCGGGTCAACTTCCTTATAAAACAGAATATGAAAATAAACTAAAATTAACGTTATCAACCGTTCTGTTTTGGTGCATGAAGAGTTTTTATATATAAGGAACTAGGCCTATAATGTCTACAAAACCCCAAATGCCCAGAAAGTGGACAATGGTCAGAATGGTGTGCAGCAAGTCGTAGCAAGTCCAGTGTGACTGTGTGCCATATATAAAAACATGACACTATTTTTACTCTAATCACCATGCTTTTCTGTTCACCAGGTGTCCACCGTGGCCTGTGCCCCCGGACTGTCACGTGGAGAAGATCCCAGGCCAGTGTTGTGATAAAGTGCGCTGTAATTAATCCAGACAACGAATCAAATGTGTTAGGTGCAATTGTGCAGAGCATCCAGATGTGTGGATTGCAACACACCTACTTGTATACACATCATATGAAACATGAGAAAACTATGAAGGGTATTTGTATGCAATGCTGATGTGAAAAAGTTGATGTAGAATGTCAAAAGCTTTATTTCAATGGGCACTACGGAATTTTGGAACAAACTTGTTTCGTTCAATAGTAAATTGCAACCAATAAAATAGCAATGACTCAATTTCGTTGTTCTCACTAATAAAAACTCAATCTTGCTTGTGAGCACATTGTACCATTATTCTTATTAAGTGGTTGACTCAGTGAGCGGATCAATCTTTAAACAAGCAATACAGTTTACTTGAATCATGGGAATAGTTATCATCATTGGATACATAACAAATCTTGTGCAATCCTTTTGGATTTGTTTTCGAAAAAAAAAAAAATTAAGAGCTGTAATAACCAGTTGAGATGTAGATAAAAATGAACTCAGAAGAATTAAGTTCCACAGTTAATATCACAACTCAGTAACAAGTGGCTGAAAAATGAGGAGTTGACTCATCCCTCTCTGGTCAGCCTAGCCAGCAGAATAAAACATGACAAGATAACAGCTGTACGGATGTCTACGTACATTTACCCAACAAAACATTTTACACTGAAATGAACCTCAAAAATGTTATGGTAAGTTAGTACTAGAAAACTGTGAAAAAAAATGCACAGGCAGGAATCCCCCCCCCCCCCCCACACACACACACACCCTACCCTACCCCAACGCTCTTGTCACCCTGAACATTAACATCAGTCCATACGATCACCAACATTTACTTCTGACAACTGTTAAACTCTCTCAATGTATGCGATTTTCACCTGTTACAAAGTCCATGCCTTTTCTTTTTAAGCATTACCATTACTTTATTACATTATTCATTATTTACCTGTTCACATATACTGAAAAGGGGAACAACCAATCAAAAGGTTCAATTGCTTGATGGATATAATAACAATAAGTTAACAATAAAATGACCTTAACATTAACATATCAAGTTGCATGGCTTATCATTTAAAAACAATTCCTTAAAATAATCATTGTGTGCAAATCCAGTTATTAACAGTAAGGATCCTCACACACTTTACACATGTTATATCCGCATGGATCCTAAACAACAAAACTAGTAAGGATTATATTTATCACAAATTTGAGCCAAATTCATGTTTCACCAAAACAAAAGAAAAAAGACAATAAATACATGAACTGCTTGTAAATTATTGGATGAAATGAAACCATAAGCTTTTCAGATCTCATTACGAAAATAATATCTTGCTCTTGAAATCAAGAGAAACATAGGAAAAGATGAAGACAAAAATTGAGGCAACACTTCTTATCAATACTGATCTTGCATACAGTAATCATCCATTGAGACCTCTGCAAAATGCTAATAATACCCACACATTCAACGCCAGTCTTTTCTGACAACACATAAATCATCCATTGGGACTATATAAAAAGAATGAAAAAATTGCATGTTACAGAAAATAATGGAACTTGAAGTACAATACTTCAATTATTTCTCTGATCCAAATGACTGCTGAGTTTTAAGTCACTATTAGAAGGAAAAAAAAAACATCTTAAAGTCAATCTCCTGGTCAAGATTTGTACTTGATGAACCGCATCAGATTTGTCCTTGCTGTCATGATGATAGGGAGATGGTCTCCTAGGCTTCTCTTCTGTTGATGAATCTGGAGAAAAGATATCAAAATATACCTCCAGAGGGTATCCACCTCTTTAACTGATCTATATACATGTTAAAAGAAACAAACCATTAAAACTTACAAGGATATTAAATACAAACCTGAAGAATAATTTTATTGTGCAAAATATGCACAGGGCTGTAGAAAAAAAGGGGGCTCTTTTTTCGGAAGATGTGGGGTAGGGGGGAGGAGATATAATAAATGAATACGTAAATTTTCCAAAACATAGGGAGCAGTCTTACCTTGGCCTTCAGCTGCGGTGCCACAGCCTTGAGTTTGTCTGTTAACCCTATCTCCCTGACAACTGGGTCTAGATGATCCTCCGCAAATACATCAAAGATGGCGTCCAGCGCCTCAGCAACCACCCACAATTCCTGGTCCTTGCTCACTATTTCCACAAGAAATGTGCCAATATTCTGAAGTGAAAATCAATAAAAATGCTAACTGCCTTTTAATGAATAATTAGTATATATGAAATGAAATAAACTTTAGCCTTAATTTAAATGATTTGGTGGAACCTCTTGCAATAGCAAATAAATAAAAGAATGACTCAAAACAGAGTTATACTAAAGTAACTAGGCATACGCCACAATGTTTTGAATGGCTCACTGAGGTTTTGTTGTGAAACACTGAATATGACTGTCAACAGACATCGATTGAACCTGACAGACTTCAACACAATGCCATATCTAAATGAGTATCGTAAGTTAGCATACAAGTCATCTTTTGTGACTAACTATTCTAAGACACATCCACATCAAATGAATATACTTATTGGCTTGACCAAATTATATTGTTATTGGCAACTTAAAAAAGTCTAAAGTCAGACCAGGTTGACCACAGTGCAGTGAGTCTGATAATAAGATCTTATGAAAAGCATTCAAACAAATCTCACACATCTCCATTGGTTTACAAGCAGCTATTCTATAAGAGGACACTAAAGCCTTCATCTAATAAAATTTAAACAAAGACAAACCTTAAGCAGGCTATGTGGCTCCATCTGTTTGGCAAGCAGACAACCAATAGTGGACAATATCCTCACAGCATTGGCCTTGACTGGGGGATGACTGCTCTGCTGTCCCAGCTCAAACACAAACTGGAGGTCACTGGGGACAACACTGGAGAACTGAAAGAATATTTCAGGATTGTGGAAATTAAAATGTGTTAGGTAGTCCGGCAAATCTGTTCTGTGATATCTCAAATACAAACTGAATTACAAGGGGTTGGACTGATGAACTGTTGTTAATGGTGATATTTTGGAAACTGTAAACAATTTAAGTAATGGAAATTGTAAGGAAAGTAGAGAATGAAGTGGTTACATGACAAAAACTGTTTCACAACATGCTTAATGGTGAATTCTATGTAACTAAAATACCTTTCATGACCTTGAAAGATCATTAAACATCAATAAATTATGCTGTACCTTAGGAGACTTGTGTTCAGCCAGTTTCTGTATAGTTGCTCTCATGGCACTGGTGACAGCTTCCAACAGATCTGCACTCTCTACAGCTGGGAATACATAACTTAATATATTATATGGATCTAAACCGTCTAATTGGTTGCTGGTCTTTAAAATTGCCACTGATATAACAGAATGAAATTTTGTGCTACTAAATCTTTTTGTCTCTCTTTTTTTTTAATTAAAAGTTGTCACCTTCACAACATTTCTGTCCAATATTCATGTCATTAATAAGCAATATGTTTATATAAGAAACTGCAGTTTAAGTAGTTAACTCTGCATAACACCTAAATCTGTTTCATCCATGTCTCTTAACAAATACAAACCTTAAGCAGACTATGTATATTCAAGAATTAAACAATTATGTTTATAATAGAAAGACTTCATACGGTAAAAAAGTAAATTCTGACCAAAACCTAAATCTAATTCTCATAATGTCCATCTATCTGATCTGTAAAGGACACAAACACTGTTGATATGTACTGTAACAATCACCTTGTTTATTAAGAGCAAGTTGGGAAAGGTTCTCCCAAATTAAGTGCAGCTTGTCCATCCCTCCAAGTGCCTCAATGTCCATACCACTGACCATGTTACTGACACACAACAGGGAGCGGGACTGCAGGACTTCAATACTGGAAGAAACAATGGATAAGGTTATTATTTTAAAAATCTCACGTATATCTCTTTTGTATAACTCTCTTTTCACAATTTAATAATTCCAGTTACCAAATAAAATTATGCAATGAATCAAAATTCTTTTAATATATTTAAAATCATAGTTTTCAAGTAAAAACTAAGAATTTCAAATTACTGTTTTTGGTTTCTAAGTATAAAATCAAATTTGTTTGTGTTTTGTTCTCCTTTCCCCTCCTAAAGAGCCAAATCTGTGATTTTGCTAGAAAAAATAATAAAAGTACAATATACTTGTTAATCTTTACTTCAAATCTTTATTTTCCAATTTTTACTTATATGTTTTCTATTATTCCCCAAGAATAAAGCCCAAGCCATCTGTTGAATTTGTACAACTTGATATACAGAACTTCTAACCTTTTCAACAATTTCTTCCCCCTCCCATATCCGCTTAATATTGTGTGAACTTCAGCACTGGGGAAATTAGTTTTGCACATCACCTGAAAAACATACTTAAAATCAACAACTTCTACCTCTGATGAATTTGAAATCCTGAAATATGTATGTATTGAAGCAAATCCAGAAACACTATAATTATATTCCTTGTCAAGGAACTTAGTTTAACAATATTCTAAAATTTAAAATTATTAACGTTTCTATGCTCTATCATTAGTAAATAAAATGGTAGTATGACCCCTTTTGGAGCAAAAAAGGCATCCCACATTACATAAAATAATCAAGATTTTCACACTTACCCTAGGAACAAGATTATTAGTAACAAAAGCACCGTGGACTTCAGACTGGACACAGAGATGACTCTGGAATTTACAGAAGTTGTCAAGTAACAAATACACTTTTAAAAAGGAACATGATAAATATAAATAAATATCCAAAATTTGAATAGTGCTATTTCAATGTCAAATTGAATTTTAGTTCTAAACATTTTGCCAAATTTCATTATGCTTATCACTACCAAATAAACATCTCTACCATTTACACTTAAACTTTTCAGATGTTTTCAATTAAAAGTTATTTTAACAACCAGGAATGTTGTTAACATCAATACAATTTTTAAAAATTTGATAAAAAATAAAAATAATCTGAGACTAGCATATTATTTTGTGTGTTATGTACTAAGAATGAAGCAGTCTAAACAGATGGGACAATCCTCCCTGATTTGTACCTGACTTTTCTAAGGCATTAGGTGTGTGTGTGTGTGTGTGTGTGTTTGTGTGTGTGTGTGTATGAGAGTGGTGGAGGGGGGGGGGGGGTAAGTACACCCCCTAGATAGAGGCTATTCACCGAACACTAGCTAGATGACCAGCTAGACGATGTGTGTGTGTGTATGTATGTTTGCGTAAGTGTGTGCGTTTGTGTGGTGGGGAGGGGGGTAAGTATATCCCCTGGATAGAGGCCATTCACCCAGCACTAGCTAGATGACTAGCTAGACAAAGAATCACTGCTAGTTAAAACTATTAAGAAAGTGTGCACTTACTAATACTGTTTCATCAGATCCCTCCATATCAACATCTGCTGTTAACATTTCATCAGAGCTGGCATCACTGCTGTCCAGGTCCTCCCACACTTCTTCCTCATCTGAAAATATGTGGAAAACAATGGTAATAGTGAAAACTTATGCCTTCCTAGACCCCTTATAAAACAACCTTCATCTTCCCACACCCTATCTAAAACAAAATGGAAAGATTCAGCTATAAGGAATTCATAAAATTAATAGCCTTCCTATACACCTAGTTGCTGGTCCATGAGAGGAACTATAGTATTGCAACTACGGACAATTAAATGCGTAGAAATACAATGTATGTCAAGTGATGTAAAGATTTGTTCAACTGTGACTGTTGGAACTAGGCACACACAGTTGTGTTGTTCTCTCTCATGCTTCCTCCTGCCCCGCTCTTTGCTAAAATCATCACAACATTATTGTGGACCTTAACTGTACAAAGATATTGTAAGGCAGCAACATTTAATGTAATGTGGTCAGATCAAATAATTTAACCAGTTTTTAATGTGTTTCAGAAGAAAAAAATGAAAAATTTGTGACATCACATGACAAACTGTGTGCTCATACAGAAATTTCATAGAAATTCATGAAAAAAAAAAAATACTACATAGAAGTTTTGGTAGACCAATCCCAAATAAATGCATTGACAGGATTAATGACAATTGCACAATCTTAAAACATTGAGAGGCAAAGAAATTTATATCTAAAAGTTCCTCAAAAAGACTAAGTCTGGTCAGGAGTTGAAAACCCAGAAGTCTCAGTGATCTCATCTGACCTTTATGGAAATGCTTATGATTTATAGGACAAGAAGATAACTTTTGATAATCCAAATTAAGTCCTGGATATGCATAAAATCCAAAATATTAAAAAACCACACAGCTCAAGAGTCTGGTTACAAAGAAGACAGAGTTACTCACCATCTGTACAACAGAGATTAGTGATTATCTCCAAAGCTGTCCTCTGGGCAGTCAAAAGGCATTCTAGTTCATTTAATTCTTTCTCCAATCCATTCTGAAAAATGTTAACACCTAGACAATTTACATTCATCATTGTATGCTTTAAAATGATTTCTTTTAATCATTTTAAGGTATTTCAATACATGTTATGTTGTCATATGCACCCCCTCCAGTGCACAGATAATTACGACTTCAAAAACTGCTTTTCAGTGAAAAAGTTTAATACTAACTAGTAAAGATACTTCAACACATGTTGGGTGATAAAATACCCATTTCAGTGCAGTAAAAATGTTTGCAATAAAATTAAAGGAATACCTTTGTGTGCTTCTTTTCATCTTTTCCTCCATCCCCTGCTCCATTTTCCATGGCCCCACCTTCTGCTGTGCCATTCATAGACTTGAAAAATAGCACACATATAACCTGAAGTATCATCTTTTACAAAGATATTCTACAATACAATACAAAATACAATGGAAGTGGAAGCAAATATAATTTCAACAGAAAAAACATATCCTCCTCGCAGAAATGCAAACAGTTAGTGGTAAAGATTACCTATTCAAATAAAAAAGAAACCCAATACATCTCTGAAATATAGAGTTGAATAACAACCTAATCATACTGAACACATGTAGGTCCCTGTCTTAACAAAACCTTTGTCAGCTACCAGCATCTCATTACAAGGTTTTCTTCCAATATTTGTTTGATATCTACCGATTTTGCTCAATAAATAATGACAGCTTCTTAAAATTTGTTGCAAATCGATATCACTCAGACTACATCTAGGCTAGATGATGCAGACCTGAAATTTCAAGACCCGTGAGGCTGTGATTTCAAATTCTGGAAAACTGCTGACATTACAGTAATCATTTCAATCGATCTTTTCAAAAGGGAAAATTGTGAATTTCACAGATACTGTATTTTTAGTCATTAATTCTAAAAATAAGAACATTCCTCTTGAATGGTAGCAACTTAATTGAAAAGCAGGATAGTTTATAGTTCTATTCTGTATAGAAAAAGCACCACAAATGCTCTGAAGAAATATATTATTACTGATTCTAAAATTATGTATCTGAAAAACTGATAACCTTTCCCCATTGAAAAGATCATTACAGTACTTACAGCATCATTCTGTTTGAGTCGAAATGCCATCTCCTCAATGTGTCTGTATGCGTCCACTTCCAGAGCCTCCGCCAGTGTCCCCACCACTGCAGTGACCAAGGAGCCGGACACTCTGTTTAACTGACCACCACTCGCATTATACAGGATGCCTGGAAATAATGACCACATGATTTTTTTTTCTAATTAATTTTGAAATTAAATATAATGACACATATCTGCATATGAATAAAATGCTGAAAATTTTCGCTATCTCACTTAGATGAAAAAATTAATCAAGCTTTAGTGACGTAGTGTCTGTTATTTTTTTTCCAGACACCCTAAATAATTCCATAGAAACTTGAAAGTTGTCACATTATAAGAAAATAAGCCATAGACTTTTTTTATAACTAGAGGATCAGAGAGGCGATACCGCCTCCGGNGCCTACGCTGGTGGTACAATAATGACAGCTTCTTAAAATTTGTTGCCAATCGATATCACTCAGACTACATCTAGTCTAGATGATGCAGACCTGAAATTTCAAGACCCGTGATTTCAAATTCTGGAAAACTGACGGCATTGCAGTAATCATTTCAATCGATCTTTTCAATAGGGAAAATTGTGAATTTCACAGATACTGTATTTTTAGTCATTAATTCTAAAAATAAGAACATTCCTCTTGAATGGTAGCAACTTAATTGAAAAGCAGGATACTTTATAGTTCTATTCTGTATAGAAAAAGCACCACAAATGCTCTGAAGAAATATATTATTACTGATTCTAAAATTATGTATCTGGAAAACTGATAACCTTTCCCCATTGAAAAGATCATTACAGTACTTACAGCATCATTCTGTTTGAGTCGAAATGCCATCTCCTCAATGTGTCTGTATGCGTCCACTTCCAGAGCCTCCGCCAGTGTCCCGACCACTGCAGTGACCAAGGAGCCGGACACTCTGTTTAACTGACCACCACTCGCATTATACAGGATGCCTGGAAATAATAACCACATGATTTTTTTTTTCTAATTAAATTTGAAATTAAATATAAAGACACATATCTGCATATGAATAAAATGCTGAAAATTTTCACTATCTCACTTAGATGAAAAAATTAATCAAGCTTTAGTGACATCGTGTCTGTTATTTTTTTTCCAGACACCCTAAATAATTCCATAGAAACTTGAAAGTTGTCACATTATAAGAAAATAAGCCATAGACTTTTTTTTATAATAACCTTACTCATGTATCTATTTAGCTAGTCTAAGACTTATACACTTTCACATCTCTCTCTCATTTTGTGACAGGAATAGTAGTCCTAGGAATGAAAGTCGGGGGTACCATGTGATTCGTACAGGTTAGTGGGAGTATTGGGGTTAGTACGTATATGGGACTCCTGTCACCTGTACAAAGTAATTAGGAGCAGACTAGGGTTCCTAACGGGTGTCCATTCCTTTCACAACATATCCCCCCCCTCAAGCTCTCATTACAGTTCCCCCCATCTCTTTCTCACTCCACCTACCTGCCGCTACCACTCTGAGCAGCATCTGTTGCATATCTTCATGTTTCCTCTGTATAAGATCCATCAGTAAGGTCATGGTGGCCTCCTTGCTGAGTGCTGACATGATCTCTGGATTGTCCTCGCTGACTGTTTGTAGACACTGTGCTGAATTGGGAAAACAAAATATATTAAAGGGGCTCTTGGTGATATAAACCAAATTAAAACACTGAAAATGCCTGGGCATGCTTCTGTCTACTGGGTCTTCCGGAAGACGGTCAGATTTTCAAGTTTACATTGGTGGGTATCTAATTTTTTCTGTCGGAAGACGGTCAAAAATGAAGAACGGATCAACAAAGATAATTTGGAAGACTGTCAGGAAAAAACTCTGAATCCGCCCCTGATCTATATTTTCAACAATGAAAAGTCTGTTTCTATCTGTTATCTTACCTACAACCAATGCCAGATTATAGCCGTACACCTGAGGCTGCAAACACTGTAGTAATATTGGCAAAACATTTTCCTGGTTAAATCTCTTCACGGTTATTTCATTGCTCTCACTGAAATTGTTACATATACCAATTTCTTGTGATTATTGTGTTTTTATAATGATCAAGACGTATAAAATACATTCTTTAAAAATCCTAAATTCAGTAACTACAATTTTTTTTCTAAAGCAGAAATCATAAAAAAAATTACTATGATACCCATATGTAAAAAAGTTATTTTTATATAAAAGATAACTCCAACAAAAAATGAAAGAAAATGTCCATAATTACACTTAAGCTATTATCTTTACCACAAAAGACTAACCATAAATTCCACAGTAAATGAGTGGCTTGAACAATAATATCTAGTCTCTCGTCCTTGTCACTGGGACTCCACTCCTCTTCATACTGCAACGGATACATTGTGGTAAAGTGCCAACAAATGTCATTGAACAAACTACATTGTAACATAAAAGTTAACTTCACTGCACCCCACTTCTTCTCAGCACAAGGTAAAATTCTGGATCTACAAGTTTTTCAGACATGGAAATCTATTACCCTCTACCAGATCCACTGATTTATTTTTCACTAGATATTCACAGATAATGTCTCTGGCTAAATATGGTCAATCTTCTAAATGGCTATAATATCTGCTGCCCTGGTAGAGGGCAGAAATCTATAGATACTTTCCAAATCTTTAGGTCAAATGGAAATCAAACAAAGGTACAAATATGTATCATATGGGCATGCAATTACCTCGGCGAGGAGAGCAAACAGTGGAGTCAACACATCTGCATCTATCATTTTGTCACAAACATCAAAGCTGCCATCTACAGTCATGTTCCTGAAAATTAAGCAGGTGAATTTTTGAAAAATTATCCCAACAGGTATAAAATAATTCTTAATATCAAATAAACAATATTTTACTTTGTAGATAGATAATCATAAAATAAACAAGGAAAAATTTAAGTCCCTCATAGAAAGAAATTACATACACAGCAATGTACTTCGTGTAGTTAGTTATTCTAAGAAAAATGTCCTTAAATCAATAGATACTTCAGCCAATCAAAATTTAATCATGACAAATTTGCTATCCACAAGACCTATTTTTCATTTTCTTCACCAAAATTAGGCCCTTTAAACCTAATACTGAAATGTGACTGCAGATTTTCAAAACCAAACAAAAAGTGGTTCAGAAAAAAAAAAAAAAACTTACCCAACTTTCCCCACAAACTTTTATAAGTTCTACATGTATCCGTACAGAACTCAAGACTTACTTTTAAACAGAAATCTGTTGATAGAAACCCCATGGTGGTACACAGAACGATATTGTAATCAGATATACTTACTTTTAAACAGAAATCTGTTGATAGAAACCCCATGGTGGTACACAGAGCGATATTGTAATCAGATATTGTACATAAACTTACTGCTGATACAAAACCTAGTATTAATGCAAACATAACCCAGTGACACTGTAACAGTGATCCTTGACATCACTAATGATTACAGTACCTGAGTGCACCTAGTGCTGTCTTCCTGACTTGTTGACTACTGTCCACTATGAGTGGCCCCATCACTTTAACAACATTATTCTGAAGTAGCATCCTTATGGCCTTCGGTTGTCGGACCAGGGTAGAAATAGTGCTGCAAGCACAAATCTTCTCTTCTTCATTTAGGCTCTGGAGCTGGGAGAAAGTATTCAATGTTAGTATAAATTTGAGAAATAACGAGACAACAAAGCGCCTAAAAATAGGGATGCAATCACATATAATCTTTTCTTGACATGCGCCTTGGTGCTGAAAAAAATTATTCAATAATATTAAAAAATTGCAGTTCATGTTAAATAACCAAAGAAGGATGAGAAACAAAGAACAACGCTAAACAGTCAACAAAAAATAAATAAATAAATAAAATAAAAAAATAATTTGGCTGAGGCAAAAAGAACTTTTGTAAACCAGAGTCTCTAATGGAAGAAAAATCCCTGACTTTTCAGTGTGTGTCATGAAGTTAAGAAAAGAAAACAGAGTGGACATTTATGGTTATTTCTACAGTACATTGGTAGTGTACATTTTGCACTTCCTCTTATTGGCTGAACTGATACTGAAAAAGGTGATTGCTACTTAGAAATAAAAGCAGACTGATAAAAAGCAAATGCCATGATAAATGCACAAAAAATTAGAATGCCAGATAGTTGTATTCATGATTAAACAGTCACATTCATTTATAGGGGCAAGTCCTCCAGTAATACACTGTAGGTGGATTGGATGTGGATGTTGTAGGCAGGGGTCATTGAAATCAAAATCCTTTTTAAATAATGGAACAGAGACCTAAAATATCTGTAAGCTGTCACAAAATCTGTCCCCAGATTCCGTCTTTCTTACATTAATTGTAGAGTAAGTTTGAAACCAAGCAGTCCCTATTTCTACCCAATTTTCTAGTTCTACCAGATGCAAACACGTGCATTTGTCTGTAAGTGTCAGACAGACACGTGGAAACAACTTGCACATTCAGACGAGCATAAAACATAAGATTAGCGAAAAGCATTAGCAACAAGTTAATTTATCTAAGTTGGAACTCTTATTCTTGTACGGGTACCTTTTCAACAATATTGGCCACTGAGTGGCTGTATGTGTCACCATCTCCAAACTCATCTTGTTCTAAATTAAAATCTTTGACGCTTGGAAGACCTGTGGGGTTGTTCCTAGTCCCCTTCCCTTTCTTGTTCTTAGACTTTCCCATAACTCATAACCTAACATAAACAACCGCGACTTTCAATTATTATTTACAAAGCTTAACCCCGAAAGCATGTGGCCACCGGAAGTGCCCACGAATACAGAGCTGTATATGGTATTGTATATAAAGTTTCGCATTAATTGATCGATGGAATTTCCATCCTACTTTTCAGCAAAGATTATTGTGGCTACTATTTACTTCAGATAATTATTTATTTAAACATCCATTGCAACTCGTATATTGTTGGTTACATTATCCATTAACTGTCCAAACACAGTTTCCCATTTAGCAATACACTAATCCACTATTAAAAATCCCATTCACTTCCATTATAACGTTTAATTCTCTTAAAAATACTTCCCATGCTTCAACAAACACAACACTTCAGATTTAAATACTTCTATTCAAAGCCTAAACAATATAAAAAAAATCAGGGTACATTAATGGCATAGCCTTCCAGTGACATGACATGACCCGTAAGGTGCTGCCGCCAGTCGTCCAAAATAAGCACTAAAATGCAGCAGGGGGGAGGGCATGTAAAATTGGCCCCAGACAGTAAAATTTCACCCTGATATGAAAAATAACACATCAAATTAAAGGTAAATGAACAAATTTATTTCTAAAATTTATTTTAAAATTTTCAAATGATCCAAAATTGAAAAATAAACTCATATTTCTTTTATATGCAGATCTTCTTGCTTCAAACTTACTAAACAAGGAAGGCCGGAAGGTCTACATGTAGATCTGTCCATAAAACACTAATCCACCATAACGTAAAATGATACAAAATCGGTTTAGTATCTAAAACAAATTTTATTCCAAATAATAGAAAAGAGCGCTGCCCTTCTCCCGCTCCTCCTAGGCAGCTCGATCAATTTTTATCATTTTTATTAACCGATTAATTGACTTAATTCTAATTAAAATTAATTGTTTAATTAATCACAACCAAAATCTAGCCCATTTTGACCTATCCTGAAAATTTTGTCAAAATCCCTCCACTTTTTAAATTCATAATGTTGGTAACAAAGGAGGAGACTTAAGTCATTCGTGAACTACCCCTCCGAAAATTTGTCTCATTTAACGCTCACTTAGGCCTATGGTTCTCAGTCTGTCCTAGAACGTAATGTTTTTCTCTTTTAATGAAAAATGTTCTTAATCTGTTCTAGGACATTCTAAAGGACTTCCCAAAAACAGTTCTCGAACTGTTACATTCATTACAGAACAACATTAGAACCCCCCCCCCCCAAAAAAAAAAAAATTAAAAATTAAAAAGAAAAATACAAATGTTCTAGAATAGATTGAGAACCGTAAGTGAACGTTAAATGAGACAAATTTTCGCGGCGGTAATATATGAATTTATAGATCACCACGCAATCTGTTCATTTTTTACTTGGTTGCCTCCAAGTAGTTTTCGAAAGTTTCATCAAAATCCGCCTACGTTACCGATACATACGTTACCATATTGCGTGTAGGGGAGACCGGGGCTAGTTGGCCCAGTTAGACACTTTTGGCCTTGTAGAGCCAACTAGGAATGAGTTAGAGTAACAAAACCGGTTTCAAAGTAAGCCCCATGAACTAAGCTACGTATGCAACGTCATTATTTTTCAAACATAATTCCAGATGGCTCACAACGCAGTTGACGTCAGGGGGGGGGGGGGGGGGGGGCAAGTGGCCCCCCCCACGGGGCAAGTGGGCCCCGGGGGCGGGGCAAGTTTCAGTTTCGT